AGGATATGAAGATACAAGAAAAGATTGAAGGAAACAAATTGGAAGAAGAAGAAGAAATAAAAAAAGATTATGACAATAAATAAAAAAATGGAAGAAAAAGAAGAAGATGGGATTACTGGAGAAGAATAGAAAGAAAAAAAACCTTCTTTTAAAAAATAATAAAATAAAAGCAAATCCAAAACACATTTGTAATGTGGGGTTCCATGTGTGCGGTTTAGGAAGGAGGTAGAGGGGGGGTTTGTAATGTGGGTTTGGGTTTAGGGTGTAGGGCTGTTTAGGAGAGAGGGGGGGGTTATAATGTGGGGTTTGGGTTTAGGGTGTAGGGTGAATAAAAACCACTAGAAAATAAAAAAATGACAGATCAGACAAAGAGATGAAGAGAAAGGAGAAAAAAGATAACATGAACATAAAGAATAAGAAGTCAAAGTTGGAAAAATAGAAAATAAAAACGATAAGAATAAAAAGTTAGAAAAGAAAAGTTACTTATGAAAGAGGAAACAATTCGGGAAAACGAACAATCAAAGAGAGTCAAGTGATACGAATGTAGGGTTTATATTGGTGGGTTAGGGTTTAGAAGGTAGGGTTTATATTGGTGGGTGTGTGGTTTAGTTTTGTGTGTGTTTTAAAAATCCTTAGTTTTTGAAAATTTTAATAAAAAAAGAAAACTTTAGTCTTTGAAATTTCTAATGAAAAGGAAATAGAAAAACAACTATATTGTTTGATCTTTATTGTTTAATCTTTTGCTCAAATCATATCGATAAAATAATAGCACTGCTTATTCTTAAAATTTCAAGTGAATTTTTGTAGAACAACAACAATTATAACAAATTAAGCCAGAAATATTTAGTTCAAAATGAAAAGAGTTTTCAAAAAAATTCTTAATCGATAGTGGTTTAAGAATTTGATACAGGAATTTTGCTTTAAAATATATAGCAGCCAGTTGCTATTTATCCTTCAATTTAGTCAATTTACCTAGAAACAAAAAGCGGATCAATAAGAAGCTGAAGAAGACGAATGTGATAAGAAGTAAAGAAATACTTGAGGACGAAGAAATATCGAAAAAAATAATAAAGAAAAATCAGAAAAAATAAGGAAGTGGAAGACATCAAGAAGATGAAAAGGATGAAACAAGAACACCAACAAGAATGAGAAGATGAAAAAGAGAAACAGAAAAGAAAAAGATGAATCAGAAAAAGACGATAAAAAGAGAAAGAAAAAGTTAAGATCATTGGAGAAGAAGAAGAGGAATAATTAGCCGCATACAGAAAAGACGAAGAAGAAGCCGAGAAGGTGAATAAAAACCACTAGAAAATAAAAAAATGACAGATCAGACAAAGACAATGAAGAGGAAGGAGAAAAAAAGATAACATGAACATAAAGAATAAGAAGTCAAAGTTGGAAAAATAGGAAATAAAAACGAGAAGAATAAAAAGTTAGAAAAGAAAAGTTACTAATGAAAGAGGAAAGAATTCGGGAAAACGAACAAATCAAAGAGAGTCAAGTGATACGAAGGTAGGGTTTATATTGGTGGGTTAGGGTTTAGAAGGTAGGGTTTATATTGGTGGGTTAGGGTTTAGAAGGTAGGGTTTGGTGTGTGTTTTTTAAATCCTTAGTTTTTGAGAATTTTAATAAAAAAAGAAAACTTTAGTCTTTGAAAATTCTAATGAAAAGGGAAATAGAAAAACAACTATATTGTTTAATCTTTTGCTCAAATCATATCGATAAAATAATAGCACTGCTTATTCTTAAAATTTCAAGTGAATTTTTGTACAACAACAACAATTATAACAAATTAAGCAAAAATATTTAGTTCAAAATGAAAAGAGTTGTCAAAAAAATTTCTTAATCGACAGTGGTTTAAGAATTTGATAAAGGTATTTTGCTATAAAATATATAGCAGCCAGTTGCTATTTATCCTTCAATTTAGTCAATTTACCTAGAAACAAAAAGCGGATCAATAAGAAGCTGAAGAAGACAAATGTGATAAGAAGTAAATGAAATACTTGAGGACGAAAAAATATCGAAAAAAATAAATAAAGAAAAATCAGAAAAAATAAGGAAGTAGAAGACATTAGAGAAGATGAAAAGGATGAAACAAGAACACCAACAAGAATGAGAAGATGAAAAAAGAGAAAGAGAAAAGAAAAAGATGAATCAGAAAAAGACGATAAAAAGAGAGAAAAAACGAAGTTAAGATCGTTGGAGAAAAAGAAGAGGAATAATTAGCCGCATACAGAAAAGACGAAGAAGAAGCCGAGAAGGTGAATAAAACCACTAGAAAATATAAAAAATGACAGATCACACAAAGATGATGAAGAGGAAGGAGGAAAAAAGATAACAGGAACATAAAGAATAAGAAGTCAAAGTTGGAAAAATAGGAAATAAAAACGAGAAGAATAAAAAGTTAGAAAAGAAAAGTTAGTAATGAAAGAGGAAATAATTCGGGAAAACGAACAATCAAAGAGAGTCAAGTGATACGAAGACGATAAATTAATTGAAGAAGAATGAGAATACAAGGAAGAAGAAAAATAGAAAGAAAAAAAAAACGAAGAAAAATCGGAAGAAACGGAAAAAGAAGAATTTGACATAGACAATAAAGAAAAAATGAGATCGTCGGAGTTTAGTTAATTTTTGCATACATGAAAGTTGTATAATAATGAATAATGTTTTGGAGTAGGATAAAACTCATGAAAGATTTGAAAGACAAGAATTAATGAAATTGAATAAAATGGTATATAAACTATAAAGTAGTTATCTAATACATTTGGTTTGGTATGAATATTTAATGAGTATAATTTGATAGTTTTTCAAATGATACAAATTTTTAGTTTATTTTTTCAAAATAGTTCATGCGACGCAATGTAGAATCTCTTCTAAATCCCAATCCCAGAAAGAATGAGTTGGGGTTTCTTTTTTGCTCTTTCCTCATCTAATATTTTATTTTTATGACAAACAAAACAAATGAAATAAGAAAAAAAAAACAATAGAAGAATATAACAATAAAAAAATTAGAAAAATCGAAAGATAAAAATTATGATCGAATAAGAACTTAAAGCTGTTAAAGAAAAAAAATAATAAATTTAAAATAATTGATATGGTTTTGTGCACTAAAATAAAATAAAAACATAATAAAATATTCAAAATACAAAATATATGAAATTGACTAATATAGTATATAAATAACTCATCCAAAACGTAATGAAACTTAAATGATTTTTATCAAATTAATTTTGTATATCTATATAAGTTTAAAAGTCAATCATCTTAAATTATATTACTTATGCAATTAAAAATTTGATTAAATTTATTATTTTAAAAATGTTATGCCCGCAGAAGGTGCGGACCAACCACCTAGTTTATTTATTTATTTATTAAGTTCATATATGATAATCATAAGTAATTATGTCCCCATTACTCTCATATGGCTCAACTATCAGTATGTTGTTGAAAAGCATTGTTTAATTCATTACCATATAAAATGAGTTTATATCTTAATATCATAAATATTTGCTATTATAAATTAATGGTTTCGAAAAAACATAAAAAATCCAAATAGTTAAACTTTGGGTTGTAATAAATCATAAGCATTTTTGTCAACATATTAGTTTGAATCTAACTGATGACTTAGTGATGCTACTATGTAGAACAAACGGATATGCTACATATGTACTAGTTTAAATGAATTTTGGTCGTAGCATCTTACTAATATAGATTAAATATTTTTTGATCACGGAAAGTTTTCTTACAAAAGGTGATGCTAATTTGACACATGGATGTGGGCGCGCGCGTCTAATACATGGTCATGACTCATGAGGCACTCCACATATCTCTCCTCTCCTTGTTTTTGGTTTCTTGGATAATTTCCCCATGCGTACGTATGTACTGGATATTTTGTTTTTGGGATAAAATAGTAAATATGTACTATACGTTTCAATCTCAAGTACATGAAACATGATATGCCCTTTAATTTTTGGTTGAGGTCATATAAACGTCATACTTTTGTTTTAAAATTTGAGATTATACATATAGTTATAGTTTGTATATCCTATCCTATGTGTAGTTTTTATAAGATAAGTTGGGATTCGGTCGACGATTTTATATTGAATTTTTGCAGTGATGCCCTATTGACACGTGTGACAACCATGATCAGTGTGCATGAAGTGTATAAAACCACTGAGGAGTCGAAAACTGAACACTTACACTTTCACGTGATGGTCATACGAATGCGTGTTTCTATTAATAGCATGTTTGTCTTTATATATGGAGACACTATGTTTCTGTCGGATTATTGGGCGATACATATCATCACTAGAAACTATTTTCGGCGGTGACACTTGTACCTCGGAAATGCATATTTCTTCGAGTGTGCACGTAATTTGCAGAAAATAACCTATTTCGTTATATACAGTATATTTTTTCGTTATATACATTACATATGATCTAAAATATATTTATTATTTATTATTTATTTTATTTTTATTTTGTTGTGAGGCTCTCCACATACATGGCGATGGGGCTCTCCACATATCTCTCATCTCCTTTTATTTGTTTCTTGTCTATTTAGTATAGGAAGAGATTTATGTGCTAGCTATTCACATACATTTCGCCCAACTTGTAGGCGGTGATTGAGTGCTCACCATTTTCAAGGATACTCACCGCAGTGACACATTTCCAACTTTAGCAAAAAAAAAAAATGTAACACATTTTCAATCCCAAACTTTGTGACACATTTTTAAACATATATTCTCGTGGGGTAGTACGTAGGACCAGTGTGCAGTTTTGTAAAGTTTATAAAAGAAAAAAATACTCATTATTTAAATGCTACTAAGAAATAAAGCTTTGTAATATTCGGAGATTTTTGAAAAATTATTCACCAGTAGCCGCCGGGGTTAAAAATGTTTTTTTTTGTTTTGTTTTTGAAAACAAATGTTTTTAGAGAGGACAATATATGCTTTTAATAATCGATATAAAAATATTGGTTACTGAAACTTTTTTCCATATCACTCTTCGAAACTGAAAGGGTCAAATCCTTCACCAATTGATTTTCTAAACTCTTTCCAATACTGCTTGGCTTCCATATCTTTGTCTAGCATCGTGTATATAATTGCCTGTACATTCGAAAAAAAAAAATCAGTAAATACTAATTAAAAGACTAATATAGTATATATATAGCTAGAGCGATTTATTGATATGTTTACGTACGAACCTTATAAAGAGGGATCCGAACATCAGAAATCTGGGCATTCTCAGCATTTAGACAACTATACTCAGCAGCTTCTTGATACCTTTCCTGGAATATTGTCCAATTAAACTAACTATTAACTATAAATACAATACTTTTTAAGAAAACATGAGATTACATTTTATAGAACAAGTTGATTAAGATGAAGAAAAACATTTGCATGTGTGTATATAAACATTATATATGTTAATAAACAAAGAAAAATAAGAAAAGAAAATCACCAGCAATATTAAAATCTCAACAAGAGCCATCTGGACATTGAAGTCGGCCTCAGGCTCGTTTATGAATCGCATGTTTGCGTCGCGAAGGAGCTGCACCGCCTCCTCACATTTTCCTTCCTTCATCTTCCTTACCGCCTCCATCTATATTTATTTCCCAAATTTAAAAACATTAAAAACTGATTGAACTTATGGTTATATAGTCTTACAGCATGCATGCTATAAATTCTATATCCTATTACCTATATGAGACTGACTTGGTTGCAGATAACTCGAATAGTGTCAATTCTTCTTTCTTATTCTTTAAGTTTGAGTTTACTGAACGTCGACTAACTTGTTGACCATAAGTATTAAATATATCAAATTAGGTTTAAGTTTTATTGAAAATAAGAAAAAAAATCTGTGACTATACGTGGAGGTAGAGACTAAATTAAATTAAAAAGATCTATATATTTAAATAAATATGTATTCTTGAAATACTTTTTTTTTTCATGTCATATATATATCATCTAAACTTTTTTGGGTTATTAGAAATATAAAACCGAACGTTCATTTTGTTTTGATTCACCACTAGCTAGTCTAAGGGATCAAGAACCCACGTGTAACTACAAAAATTAGATAACATATATGTATGTTTGCAAATTGTACCTTGATGGAATCAATATCTTCCTTTGAAGGCAAAGAAGGGAGCTTATGAAGATTGAATGGTCTTTGAGAAGGAATAGGTTTAGCAGAAGCAAGCATTGAGCTCACTTCAAAGAGAGAACGCAATGCGTACTTAGCCGGCAAAGGATTCATCCCAGAAGACGATGATACGGCGGCCGTCGGTTTTCCGGATATGATCATGTCGGCGGAGCTTGGATGCATAGCTGCGGCGGCAGTATAACTCATATTGTTTATCTTGAAGCCGAAGATACTAATTAAGGCGCAAGTAAGTGCTAAGGATGCTCCTGCCGCCATTTTTAACGGCCTTAAGCGCTTTTTTTCAACTGGATAATCACTTTTGTTATTTGATTTGGCCATCATGATTGGTGATCTCATGAACAAACGGCCACATTGACCGCCATTGGAGGGAAAACCGAGAAACAAGTTTTGGGATTTGAGAGCTTGTTTATGTGTGTAGGTGAAACTAGAGAAAGGCACTGTGATTTTCTGAGTATTGCCTAGAAGAAATGTAGAGGCCATTTCTTTATTCTTATGAGCAGAAAAAGACAAAAAATGGATTTTTATTGCCTTGGTTGATCTTTGTGTTAGGGAATGGTTCTTAAATTTTTCTTTGTGGTAGTTTCTCTACATGCATAGAACATATGAGATTTCAGGGTTTGTGAAGGAAAGCATCAATTTGTTGCTTTAGACAGAAGTAACTACAGTTTCACAGAAAGGCATCAAATATTTTTACTTAAAACACGCAAGTACGTATATAGGTACGGTTTCTCTATTTTATTTACAGTGTTTGTATCCTTCCTTTTTCGAAATTAGAAAATAAATGTTTCCCCTTGTATTCTACGTACATACTTTTGATTTTTGATATACTGTACCTAGTGTAGATTTTTGATTAGGATCAAGATAATGTTATTCTTTTCCAAAGTCTTGGAAACTTGGAAATACACATGACGATATATTCTTTCTTTACGTATGATGCAAGACTAACATTAGAATAACTTGAATGGTTTCCTCTTCTATGTGCAATCTAATTTAATTTTGTATATATAAGAAACTTTTAAAAAGGAAACATTTTAGTATTTCGACATTACAAAATACAAAGAAACCGGACAAACATATATTCCGGTAAGTATTAGGTGGATCGATCGAAGAACAAGTTCAACATGAAAAAAAAGTATGGAGCAGCAGTTGCACCCGTATTCGTTCTTGCTGGTGCCTATGTCGGTTGGAGCTACATAAATCGTCGTTTATGGAAAAAGAAAGATGATAACAGTGGTCGAGATAGCCCCGGTAAAAGCTTTGTAGAACAAAAAAGAGATAACAATGTCAAAAACATTAGTAAGGAGGCTTCTTCAGAAAGAAGAGGAAGAGATCATAAAACATTCTCAAGATCTGTTTCAATGGGGGCTATCCGAGGAGGAAAATTGGCATTGCAAAGATTACTTGATTTGCACTCATATCGCGTTGATACTTCTTCCCTTGCAAATGCTGAGATGGAATTTGAATCATTGCTTTCCAAGGAAACCCCAGATTTTGGGTTGCTTCAGGTTATTCATTTACGTAATGTTTCATTATTTTTCTTCTCTTTCGGGTAAAATATCGCAGTTTGTTAGAATCTTATTTACTTGGCCCTCTTGCAGAGAGACATTGTGAAGATGGAAATGAGTGGAAAAGAAGCAAAAGGAGTGGAGATATTGAAGAGAGCATTGGAGAAAGCAAGAGGAGAAGAGAAAGGTCATGAGGCCTATGAGATTGAGATGTTGCTTGTCGAGATGTTGATCTACTTGGTTTGCTTTCTATTTTTTTTTTTTTTTTTTTTTTTTTCCAAATAATTAACAACTACATATATATATTTTTCACTATCTTCAAAATATTTTTTTTTATATTTTAAATAGGGAAACATTGAAGAGGCTTCAAAATGTAAGTGTTTAGAGGATGAAATCATAACAGATGCAAGACGTCCTCTTTACCAGGCAAGTAATATAGTAATCCGGACCTTATGTACAGTTTAAATTCTATTTACAATTATATTTTTGCTTATTGTCAATGTTGTTTAATTATATATCATCAGACTATAATCCATTACCTCCGAGGAGATCCTGAGAAGCAAGTCGAGGAGACATTCAACAGATTCAGAGAGATTCAAATTGGCCTACAATGGCCTGGAAGTGCAGAACAATGTGAGATTCAAGAAGTCACATTACATGAGTTCAAGAAAGTAATGGAGTCTCTCAAGCAAGAAATCCAAGACAGCAATAAAAGACACATCGCAAACTCAACTCCACGTTAGACAAAACATAATTGAAACTGACAACGATATAAAATGATGGAAGATATATTTTAATAATTTTAAGAAATGATCAAAAGATCTAGTACATTAACAAGTGATACTCTTGAAAAAATGCGTCTAGTTAATTATACAGAAAATAAAAGAATAATCTAAGATATTTTGTCATATTCAACAATTTCTTCAGCGTCAAATGTCATAAAAAATACTTTTATCGGTAAGAAGTGACAAAATGGACATTGGTTTGCAACCTACTGCAATAATATTATCACTTGATAAAGAATAATAATCACCTGAATGCACAAAATGAGTTACATAAAAAAATATGTGATCCAGATAGTTATAAGAATTGGGGATAAAAGAAATCGTCTTGGTAGTCAATTTGTGTGACCGATCCAAGTAAGTGTATATAGCGTTGATAAAGGTGCTTTGATGGGGATAAAGAAATCGTCTTGGTAGTCAATTTGTGTGACCGATCCAAGTAAGTGTATATAGCGTTTAATTTCTTCTTATTTGTTCTGTATCTGTAAATGTTACTTAGATGAAGAATGATCTTTGGGTTTCACGGAAGACAATTCTCAAGAGATGGAAGCAAAGAATCCAACTACTTATTAAACATCACTAACTATTGTTCTTTGAATAAGTTTAAATCTCATTTTGCTTGCTCTTCTTTTTAATTGATCGCAATATAGATTATGAAGTTGTTTTAATTTAACAATTCTCGTGGAGTTAATTATATACAAACCAAGTCAGAGTGTCTTGGACTCGAGTCAGAAGCATTGTCATTTGGAATCCATTGAAGATGGGTCTAGAATTTCATTCTCTGTTTTGTGTTTCCTCTATCAACCCAAGTTCTGTTTTGCCTTCGTGCTATTGGCACTTTTGCTTATCAACACGAGATCTGTTTTGTCTTCCCTCTATTGGCATTTGCATATAACCAGAATCAGCCTCCTCACCATCATTTTATAAACCCACGCTAGAATCTAAACTAGCTTCTCCTTGTTGAGCGTTCCATCTCTCTGCTCCAGTCACAACAATAGTACAAAACTCCCTGTGAAACACATCCATGTTTGTAAGCATCTTGTTTTTGTAATTTACAGCAGGAGGCCACTCCTATAACCAAAGAGAAACCTTTGTTCATTACGAGAATATCTAAATCATTGTGATATAATATGGTCTTAAAAAACTACAACTCTCTGATCGGTCTTAAACCTCAAATATATGAAATAGAGGTTAGCTACTAAAATATATAAACAACTACAATTCTAAAAGACAATCCTTATTAGCTACTAAAATAGCTAGTGTTAGATCTGAGATAGCATTCGTTAAAACAGGTTACCAAAGATGTGAGTTTAGGAAACTAGAAGCTTGATTTAACTCGAAGAATATCAGGAAGGTTACAAAAGGTGTTATCTCGCCGACAAGCTTGGCGAGATGAACTATGATGAACAAGAGGAAAAACTGAGATGAAAGTAAGGGGGTGCAAAGCCTAGTAATTCTAGATGATCTCGGATGCCTTTTCACGAACGGGGGGTCTTCAATATATAGTGTTGATAGGTTGGCTTCTTGGTGAATATTCTTCCATCGGCGGGATGGAAAACTTCCTCTTTTGCGATATGGAAAACTTCCTCTTACTCTTGATTTCCTTCTATTCTTCGAGTCGGCATGAGAGTTTGTTTACATGTTCTCATGGATTGTGCCTTCCTTCTCAAGTCTTGCCATTTTATTGAGAATGTTAGGCCTAAAGTCGGATTGGACTTTGTGATTTTACTAATGATGACGGACTCAGGGAAATGTGTTAATTTCTCCTCTAACAATAAGTCCCCCCCAGCTCGGCAAGTCAAATGCAAATTGATCTCGGCGAGTTTCATGAACAAAGAGGGAGCTTAAGAATCATTAATAAAAATGCGCCACACCAGTCCGATTTTAGTACCTAAGTGCTTGCTGAATGTAGATTCGTGCCGCCTCATTAAAACCTTGGTACGGAAAAACCCAATTGGGACAAAAACAATAAGAAGGAAAAAAGAGTACGTTGACGTCATCTAATCCATAAAATGATGTGCTTCGAACGGTCCTTGCCGAGACCGAGAATGCTTTCTCGTTGAAGTTAGGGAATTTATCTTCGCATGCCGCGATGAGTTCAAATTTTGTCCATGTATGGACGGAATTGCCACGTCATCGCTTAGACGGGTATCTTATTTTTAAAGTCACGCGGGTCAGGCCCGATAATCAGTTTATTTGCGAAGAGACCCAGACCCATTAAAAATATCCTGAGCGGGAAAATAAACAAATAAAGAAATCCAAGGGAAGTTTTTCCCTTGGAATTCGCGCGGCCTCTTTTAGGCGACCGTTCAAATTTCTTTTCTCCATTTACTCTTTTTTTTCTTCTCACTCAACCGTCCCGACCATTTAAAGGTAACTTCCTCTTTTCGACTTCAAATCTATTCCAGACCGAATTATCGAGTTGATTTTGCGGAATTTAGTGTTAGGAAGTTACGAATTGCTCGAATCTAGTTAGATTGCGCTCTGATTCCGTCTTCCCTTTCGCCAATTTCACCTTCAGATTCTAGGGTTTTTGCTCCGTCGAATTTTCTCGTTTCGATCTTCTAATTTCTCCAATTCTTCGTGCAATCGAGATGAATCCAAAGGATAGGAAGGGCAAAAGTATTGCCATTGATGACGGCGATGAGACGATCGCTTCGATCGCGCGTCAGATGCGGTCCTCCACTCGTCCAGAGGGCTCCTCGGCGGAGCGATCCAAGCAGATGCGGCTGAGCGCCGAAGGAGGGCGGTGGTGGACGAAGCAGTGGCTGCTGCCGAGGCCGAAAGAATAGTCGAAAGGGCATAGATGGAAGAGGCGGAGAGAGTTACCGCTGAAGCCGACCGTCGAGAGGCAGCGGAGGAGAAAAAGAAGGCAGAGGCAGATCGTGATTCCGACAGAGAGACCAGTTCCGATAAATGGTATCGCGATGGAATTCCATCAGATGACTCTGATGCTGATTCGGAACGCGACGATGAAGGGGCTTCGACTCCAAATCGTGCTCGTCTGAAAGGTATCCCCGAGATGATCAAGATGCCGGAGCATGCCAAGTCCAAGGCACCACGCATAACGGATGGCAGGACGTGGATGACTCCCGAAATTCTCTTGGCGCTCGTGAAGAGAGTCGGCTTCTCGGGTCGTATCGAGTTTCGGATTCCGAAGGAACACGAAAGGCCTTATGACGCTCCGCCGGGATGAATGTGCGTTTACGAGTGCTTTTTCACCGAGTTTGGGATGAAATTTCCTTTGCCTTTCTTATTATTGAAGTTCGCCACCGAGTGGGGCGTTGGCGTGAGCCAGCTTACTCACGGCGTCTTTCGTCACATGGTCTTTACGGATGCCTTAGCCGCTGCCGCAGACATCATGTTCGATCGTCATCTTTTCGAGAATGTTACGGATCTTCGCGCCGGATCCAAATGGGAGGGGATCTTTAAGCAATTCCACACCGCGATAAGACATAGGATCGTATTCGGTGATTACCGGAATAAGATTCATCACTGAAAGCGCTATTTCTTTTTTGTGAAGATTAGCAAGGACTCGGTTGGGAACTTCAAACCTGACCAAATCAAAACTGATTGGGTCACTTCGCCGGCTAGAATATTGGTAGAATTATTACCTCGTCATACTTATCGAGATATTTTTCTGATTTTTATTTCTTGTTGCAGAGCCGTTGAAATAGGCGAGGCCGAGTAGCGCCCTTAAAGGCAAGTTCAAAGCTTTGAGGGAACTCAGCCACCAGATTTGGCCTGAGGTCGTAGAGGAGCTCGAGGGAAAGAAGAAAGAGAGGAAGGAAAAGAAAGAAGGGAGAAGCAAGCCTGCTGTTTCCGCGACTCCGTTATCCGGTAAGCGTTTCACTTGTCCTCTTGCAAATATGATCTCGTCATAGATGATTAAATTTTGGTTTTACCACGCCGCAGTTAAACCGCCTTATTCCAAGAAGAAGCCGATGGGAATTAAGAAGAGAGCGCCCGTGTCCGTTGATGACGCCGTCGTTGCTTCGAAACCGGCGCCGAAGAAAAGAAAGACCGAGTGTCCAAAGCCGAAGAACTCCCTTTCTCCTCCTCTTCCAAGTTCTTCCATCGCGTCTCGGACAAAGTGAGTGTATCTTTGCCTTTCCCCTTTCCCGTACATATACCGAAGTTTGTGTGATAGAATTAATGCTGAATATTGACATTTGCAGGGCTTCGTCCAGAGCTAGACATGCGAGAGGGGTCTCATCTTCTACGGCCGAGAAGGCCCCAAAGAGTGTGATTAACGTCGACTCTCCTCCTGCCGCGGAACAAGAGAGATGCATCTCGTCAAAACGTGGATGCATCGCGTCAAGACGGTATCTGGGGACTCCGCCTTGCGGCGGCGTTTCACCTACTTGAACGAGAGATCCTCACGATGATGGTTCCTCCTTCGACCATGATGGCCTCGGAGAGGGTGGATCGTCTCGGCGCCCTGAAGGCGGTGAGGAGATGTCTCATCACTCTGAGATGGGTGGTTCCGCGCCAAAACCTAATGCCGAGGATGGTCCGGAGGAACCGAAGGTCGAGCCTCGGAGCTGTAATCCTCATGCGGTGGAGACGCAGTGGGTGGTGATGTTCCTCTCATGGAAGATAAGGATGCTTGCGGGGGATCGGTTTGGGTATCCAAGGTCCATCCGGGCTGGGGGATTCCTCTCGTGAAGGGCTTGCTTTCAGGGGTGACTTTGATGAGGCATCACAGCAGCTAAGGAGGAAGTCTTAAGGTTGCGGCGGGAGGATGAGAAGGCCGAGGATGTCGACGCGGTGGTGGCTGATTTGAAGCTTGAGAAACTTGCTCTCGAGGAAAAAGTTGCAGCGCTGAATAAGGAGATAGTGAAGACTCTCGGTCTTCAAGATACAACGGACCAATTGAGAGCTCAACATGCTGAACTCTCGGAGAAGGTTCGCCGAGGTGCGGAAGCCGCTGTTGCTGAAGCGGAACGTTTTCGTCAGTCACGCCAGGAATGGGCTGAAGTAGTTGCTACTCAAGTCTATGATTCGGTGAGTGATTGGTACGCTCCTCGCCTTCGCCGTCTCTCGGAGTTCGTCACCCAGCGGGACATGGTCGAGGCGGCTGTAGTGAGGCTGCAAGTCGACGAGGCTCTTCTCGTCTTTGTGAAGAAGATCAGTGGAGTGGACCTGGACTTTGACGCTGTGGAGGAGAGACTTAGGGCCAAGCTGGCAAAGAGCGTCGCGGATGGAGATGCAATCGATGAGGTCGACATTACTGACGACGATTTCGTGAAGCCCAACAGGTGAGATTTTCTTACTAGCTATTTCTTGCCTATCTGCGATGCGTTTATTAACATGTGATATTATTTGCAGTGTTTCTATGCTAGTGGTGCCAGGGTCTCCATCTCATCGAAACGATGATGGCGCTGGTTCGGGTGCGGGACCATCTGCTTCCGGGGTCAAGTCTGTTTAGGCCCCTTTCTTTTTTCAAGACACTTTTGGCTGTGGTCTTTTTGTTGTAATAACATTGTCCGGGAGGGTTTTTATCCGTATGTTTTTAAGTATGATTTAATTTTGTTTGCATGCATGCGTGATATCGTTATCACGACTTAGACATAATTGATTAATTCAGAGCGCAATGAAAGTAATCCATTTTTTTATTATGTCTTTTAATAAAGGACAAAATGTCGTCAATCGAATAAATTAAACTAAGTACTCGATCGTCATCGAATAGAAAGTTCGTTCGTCGGGACGACTCGTTGCCTTTAAGCATATCACGACATAATGCGCGTGATGGTGCAGATGCGTCATGACGAGCCGCGATGCTTTTGGGGTTTGTCATGACTTCTCATTCGAGATACCGACCGGTGAATATTAGGTCTGTATGCTTGGCGTGTTAAGCCTAACTTCAGCGACGAGCTCTAGAAATTCGATTTATGCTTCCGACTTCAAAGCTTCGTACGGGTGACGAGGTAGCGGCTTTTCGCTCGTCCGACGAACTGAGAGCCGTGCGAGGTGCGTGCTCTCGGCTTAATGAATGAGTGATCAATCCATGTCTTTTTAGGGTGCAAAGTGCGAATGCTCATCGAGTTTGCCTCGAGTTTTGGTTTGACGTCAAACGGGTGCGTGCTTTTTATCGACAAGTTTCTGCTTATGCCGAGATGAGGCGCGCTTGTCGAAGGAAAAGAACTTCAAATAAAATAAAATTTTATTTTATTAAGTATCATAGCTGCGCCCTTACTGGAAAAGGCTGCCTACGTTCTCGTGCCGAGATCAAGCCATGGGTAGTTCGTTACAAATGTTCATGTCACGGACATGTTCTTTTTTTTTTTTTGACTAATGCGGTGCTTTGCGTCTAGTCAAGAAACTTGCGCAGGTCCGTTGAGCTCCAGAGGCGTTCGGACGTGCTGCCTAGGTTGTCTTCAAGCTGATAGACTCCTGGCTTGATGATTCGTGCGATGCGGTATGGTCTTTCCTAGCTGAAGCCGAATTTGCCAAGATGGTCGATCCTATCTTCGTCGGATTTTTGGAAGACGAGGTCGTCGAGTGCGAAGCGAAGGTGTTGCTTTAGAAAAGCAAGTGCCAGATCGTCGAAGCTGTCGATGGAGTCGGCCCGGAGGCTGCCGAACCATGTCAGGGCTTCGCGAGGCAGGTGCTCGGCGAGAGCTTGGCAAAGGAGTGCGCTTTGCTCTCCCAGCGATGCGTATCTCTGTCTTCTTATGGCTATCATTAAGGATGAGATCCATTGCTTGGGAATGTCTCGGCCGTCGTAGAAACTTAGGTGTAGCAAGATACGCTTCTTCAGCGGGACTTCGGAGAGGCGGCTCGTCAAGGGAGTCCTCCGAATGTCAGCAATGATTTCGAATATCTCCTGATCTGTGAACGCGCATTGCGGAGTGCCTTGAGTAGTTGCGTGATACCTTGCGTTTTCCTCGGTGTCGTCATCGTCAACGTGGATGACTTCTCAGTGAGATGAGGGGTGGCATCTTGGTGCTTTGGGGGTGGATCCCTCTAGGTGGCAGGAAGATGATCTTCTTTTATTTTTCTAGCTGGAGTTTGTATCTTTTGGTTCGAATCGCCGCTGCGGGATATCCTGCTCGAGGCGAAGGTACTGTTCGGCGCGAAGACAAGGTCGGGAAGGGGCGGAGGTAAAAGTCTTCCTGAAATCTGGATCGGTACCAGAGTCCATTTCTGAAGGCCTGGATGAGTGCGGTTTCAGAGATAGGGGGTGCTCCTGGAATCTCATCGAGGTCGAGCAACATGCTTTTGAATCTATCGAGGTAACTTCGTAGCAGGTCGTCCTCGAGTTGTTCCATCTCGAACAGGCCGAGGAGCTTCTTGGGGTTTTTAGTGCTCATGCTGAGGCTCAAGTCGGATTTCGAGGTGGGTTCGGTGCCAGCTCTTCGTGGAGGAATCGGCAGGGTTTCCACTCGTGCTATGGTGGCGCGTCTTGTTGTGTCGGATGTTGGCTCGGGTTCTTCGCGAGGCGATTGATTTGAGGGCTCGATCACCATAAAAGATGACGCGGTGCGGAGCTTGCGTTCGCGAAGGAAGCATGATCTCGTCACTCTTTGATTCCTACGCAAAGTGAAAATTCCGGAAGGTGTCGGGAACTTTACGCATTGGTGGAAGGTTGAGATGACGGCATTCATTCGTGGAGCCAGGGCGTGGCAAGGATCGCATTATAGATAGCCGGCTTGTCCATGACAATGAATGTCATGGTCTTTGAGATTCCGCCGATATAGACGAGAAGCCGGACTGTGCCGCAGCTGTAGACATTTTCGGCGGTGAAGCCGGTGAGGGGACGAGACGTAGGTTTAATGGTATTTTCCTTCACTCCCATGCGATCCAGAGTCTCTTTGAAGATGAGGTTCACCGTGCTCCCGGTGTCGACCAGAATTTTTGCGACATCGCAGTCGTGAATTTGCAGAGTGACCACGAGTTGGTCGAGATGAGGGGTATCAAGCCCGCCCGCATCCTTATCCGTAAAGGCGATGGTAGGGATTCCTTTATGGAAATATGGATAGCGCCGTGCTGTGACGGCCTTTCTCTCGTACTCCTTGATTTCTGATATATAGAGTCGTCACCGTCTAGGAGGCTTCCAATGAGGTGTTTACAGTTTTCAGTGGCGTGGCCGGTCTTTCCGTGGAACTTGCAGAAAGCTTTGGCGTCGTTGTCATCTCCGAGTGGAGTAGCATCGTGCGGTATTGAGATCGATGCGGTATATTCTTGCTCGGACTTGTCGTCGGCTGCTGCGAACGCTGTGAGGAGCGACCTCTTGGGGTCGTGTCTTCTTCGTACCTCCACCGGCTTCTTCTCAAGGTTTAGACGAGGTTGTCTTCCTATCTCCGTGCTTCTCGGCATAGAAGCGCTTGTCTTCTTCGAGGAAGATGTAGTTCCGGGAACGGTGGATCTTTTGCATAGTTTTAGCATCCATTAGCATCATATCTTGTTCCTTTTCTCTTCTTATGCATTCATAGTAGTTTTAGGTTGCATTTGCATACATATGCATGTTTGGTCCTTGGAATAGGTCTTTTGGAGCATTTTGGAGCATATGGGACGTGAGGAGCATGGAAGGACTTGGTGCATGGACGCAGCTCAACTGGACACACAAAGGAAGAAGGAGGAAGCCATCTTGAAGACCAGCTCGACCACCCGGTCGAGTTCCTCAACTCGACCGGCCAAGTTCAACTCGATCGAGCTAGGAAGTCAAAGTCAAACCCGAAAAATGTTGCTTCCCCCTTGACTTCCCTTTGACCCTAAACCTAATCCTCTTTGTATTTAAAGGCTCTTAGCCACGAAAAAACCACCAAGCTTTAGATTACTTTTGTTTTAGCTTCTTTTTAATTATTGTCTTTTACTTTTAGAGCTCTTAATCCAATCTTTGTGTTCTTGAAGCTCTTGCTTCTTGAATGCTAGATCCTGGATAATCTCTTTTGTATTTGAACTTGTCTATTTCAATAAAAGTTGTTTATCTTTATCTCCTCTTTCATTTGATGTTTATTTCAGTGCATTTGGTTGTTTATTTCACCATGTGTAGTGAGTAGTTACCCATTAGGGTTTGAGATGGGCTAGATTAGGGGATCTTTATGCTTAATCCTTCTTGCTTATGTTCTTAATCTAGAAATCTCTCTCTTTTGGGCAAACCTTAAGGCTACATGACCACTTGATGTACTTGCATTTTGCATAGTTTTAGTACATCTTTTATGCATCTTTTGCATAGTTTTAGCATCCATTAGCATCATATCTTGTTCCTTTTCTCTTCTTATGCATTCATAGTAGTTTTAGGTTGCATTTGCATACATATGCATGTTTGGTCCTTTGAAATAGGTCTTTTGGAGCATTCTGGAGCATATGGGACGAGAGGAGCATGGAGGACTTGGACGCAGCTCATGGACGCAGCTCGACCAGCTCTACTCGACCAACCGGTCGAGTTCCTCAACTCGACCGGCCAAGCTTCAACTCGATCGAGCTGAGAAGTCAACAGTCAAACCCGAAAAATGTTGCTTCCCCCTTGACTTTCCTTTGACCCTAAACCTAAATCCTCTTGTATTTAAAGGCTAAAAGCCACGAAAAAACCACCAAGCTTTAGATTACTTTTTGTTTTAGTTTCTTTTAATTTATTGTCTTTTACTTTTTAGAGCTCTAATCCCATCTTTGTGTTCTTGAAGCTCTTGCTTCTTGAATCCTAGATCCTGGATAATCTCTTTTGTATTTGCACTTGCTTATTTCAATAAAAGTTGTTTATTTCATCTCCTCTTTCTTATGATGTCTCTTTTATTGCATTTGCTTGTGTTTACATTCATGTGTAGTGAGTAGTTACCCATTAGGGTTTGAGATGGGATAGATTAGAGGTTTTATGCTTAATCCTTCTTGCTTATGGTCTTAATCTAGATCTCTCTCTTTTGGAAATCTTAAGGCTACATGACCACTACCCCTGGCTTGTATGTCCATAGGCGATTCTCCACATGGAAGTGATGGAAATCGCTGGAAAAGGTCCACTAAGAGCTCCAATATCTCTTGCTCTAGAAATGGAGGTCTAAGGGGTTGGATGGATTAGTTTGGCAATGATCCTATGGCCTCCAAGGCTTGATTCTCACTGGCTAACCCCCTGTTTCTGAGATCATCCTTGGTTGATAGCTTTCACCTTGGGAAAGGGTTAGCTAGGCATTGAGAAGCTCAATATCAAGAGATAGCCTTGATACAAGGAGTTTTAAGAGCAAGATGATTAAGTTAGCTCTGATTGCAAAACCCTGTCTTAGACCCTAATTTCGAGCTTGTTAAAGTCGCTGCCTTTATTGCTTTTTACTTCAACTCGACCCTAAACTCGATCGAGCTCGGTACTCTGTTCCACTCGACTCGAGTCCTTGGTCGAGCTGTTGCTCTACTGCTTTATTTTATTGCATTGCATTTCATTTTTAGGTTGTTAGTGTTACCAAATCTTTACTGCTTGCTTGACTTTCTTGTGTTTCATATTCTCATAGAGTGACAAGTTTCCCATTTTGGATTGATAACCTCTTATACTACATGACTATGATGGTTAAGAGGAATTGATTGATTGTGATTGCACCATTTCATCTTTATTCACCCCTGTTTGCATTCCACCTCATATCTTATCACATCCACACGTAAATCCTATCATCACCACTACCCCTGGCTTGTATGTTTCGGTGACATAGGAGCCAGCTCGACCGATAGCTCGATCGAGCTAGAAACAAGGGCAACTCGATCGAGTTCCACAACTCGACCGAGGTAAGTTTTTGAATTTCAAATTTTCAACCGTTTTCTTGGTCAAGGGGTGGGTCCCACAATTCAATTTTGGTCCCCCAACCCTAATTGATCAGAAAAATCCCTAGCTTTTGTTCCCCCTCTTCATTCACCTTTTAATCTCAACCACACATCTCAAACACTCCCTCTTCCCCATAACTCGATCGAACCCACTTCTCCACTCTCCCACACTTTAAAATTTCTGAAACTCATCTCTCTCTCTCATCACCACAAGAAATTTCGATTTCCAACCTCTCTCTTAAGTTTTTGCGATTTCCTCTTGTTCTTCATTGTTTGCTTTGGGTTTTAGTTTACTGCTCTTCAATTCATCATTCAACAAGGTATGAACCCTAAAACCCTTGATTCCTCCATCTCGATTTCCATTATTGCTTGTTTCCTCTTTGATTTTTGATTGCATGTGCCCCTTTGGGATTGTCTTGAGTAATTGCTTCATATCTTTCTCCTGCTCATAGTTTTTGAATTTGCCTCACCTCACCTCTGTTTCACTATTAGAACTTGTTGCATGTGCTTGAAACATTGAATTTGAGTTTGGTATTGGTTAAGATGCTTAGTGCTTCACTAGAATTGCTCATTGTTCCATTTACTAGTTGTTCTTGGTTCAATTTGATTGATTAGCATCCTTTCCAGCTCTTAATACTTGAATTAGGTTCGGTTATACTCTGTTTTCACCTAGCTCGATCGAGTTTGTCACTCGAGTTTTTTGACTCGATCGAGCTGAGTGTCGAGTTGACCAAACCGATCATTGCAACTCTAATTCTTTGTAATCTTTGATGCATTTCAGGTACTTTAGTGAAGAAACAGTGTAACAGAGATGACAAACAGTGAGGGAAGTCGCGCTTCACAAGGAGAATGGTTGAGGGTGAATCAAGCAATGCAAGGGAAAGAAGGCTTAAGATGCAAGCCGATTTGGAGAGGATGACTCAAAGGATGGAAGAGTCTGATGCAGAGGAGTATGTGTACTCTGAGGAAGAGTCTGAGAGCGAGAGATTGAGGGAGGAGAGGAGGACCAAGAAGAGGAATGACCCCATTAGTAGTGAGAGTGAGCAAGGGGAGTTTGAGATTGGAGTGAACCTTGTTCAAGAGGAGGGAAATGGCTCTCCAAGTGAAGAAGGAAGTGATGAGACTGAGAGTGAAGAGGAAGGAGAAGAGGTGAATCAGTTGGTTGAAGAGAGTGAGCAAGAGAGTAACCAAGATGAACCTATGGAGGAGGTTGAGCCACAAGAGGAGGAAGAAGAACTCCCTATGTACCAAGAGCACTACAATGCTCTCTTCTCCATGGACTTTATGGATACCAAGTACCCACATGTTGACACAATGAAGGCCCTTGGAATCTTTGAAGATGTGGAGCTGGTCTCAAGAACATGCACTTGGCCAAGCTCTTCTCTTATCACATGGAATCCTACAAGGAGCTCACTTGCGAGTTCTTAGCTTCAATGAGGTACCACATGTACGAGAGGAAGATAGAGCTGATTTGGACCAAGGATTGGGATGGATCACGTTCTTGGCTAAGGGAGAGAAGAGAATGGTGACCTTTAGGCAGTTGGAGATCTTGTTTGGGTTCAACTATGGAGAAGGTACCAAGTGGAACTTCAAGGAAAGGAACTCCAAAGGGTTTGGGCTACAATCGCTGATGGAGTGTACTCTTCCTCAAGGTCCAAGGCAGCTCAAATCAGGAGCCCAGTGTTGAGGTATGTGCACAAGGCACTTGCCAACACCTTCTTTGCAAGGAAGGCACCGGGACCATCAACGAGGGGGAACTCAAGTTTCTTGACATGGGAATCAAGCCCATTCTCTCACGCACAAGCGATGGCAAGAGGATCAGGGGAGATAGATCCAACACAGGAACTTGATGCCTTTCCTTGATCATCTCCTCACCTACAAGACCACAGCCTACAACACTAGACATCAACGAGGGAGGCGCCTAAGTGTTGGAGGGCTCATCACTCCTATCTTGTGTGCTGCTGGAGTGAACCCAACTGATAAGAGAGCCACTGAACCAGGTTGGATGGACATCAAGTTTTGCAAGACCAACCTTCTCATTGAGCACAAGGAGTTGGATGGGAGGTTCCAATTCAAGTTCACACATCCATTGGCTGGCCCTTCCAAGCTTCTCCTGCCTAACCCAGAGCTCACCACAGTAGTCAGGGGTGAGAACATTGATTTCAGACCCCCTGTGTACACTAGTTGGGCATGAGGAACGATTTGCGAGAAGAGGAGCCTGAGCTCGATCGAGCTGAGGATCGAGCTGAGTCTCAGCTGAGGATCAAGTCCAGGAGAGTGCGGATTTGGGTGAGCCTGAGTGCTATTATTTTGAGGAGTATGAGGCTCCAAGGATGAACCCCTCTGTTGTGGCTGCCCACAAGAGGATTGGACTTCTCCAAAAGTTCAACAAATGGCAAGGGAAGGCCATTGAAAAGATGCAAAAGTCCATGGACAAGATGGTGAGCAAGATCAAAAGTTTGGAGAAGAAGGTTTCTGGTTCTTCAAGCAAGAAGAAGAAGGCTCCCATGAGTTCCACATTCCTTAGGAGTAGATCCTTCTCACCACTCCAAGGAGGCTCCCTGCCCAAGAGCCTCACAGAGCCTCTTCATTTCGAGCCAAGGGAGGGAGAAGACAACTCACAGAGAAGGAGGAAGAGCTCTAAGGCCAGACGCTCCAGCTCGACCACCGGACTCGATCGAGTCCAAACAGAGGAAACTCAACTCGATCGAGCTGACGGTCGAGTTGGTCTTGAGGAGCCCAGTTTGAGGATCCGGGATTTGAATACGATCCAACGCCTTACCAGGAGCACCCTCGGAGTAGATGGAACCCCTATGGACAGTACGAGCTAGCCATGCTCCACCAAGGCCAAGGGAGCCACACACACTTCAATGAAGAAGAGGAAGAAGAGGAGCCGCAAGCTCGATCGAGCGAGGTGAACCCAGTCGAGTGGAGTGCTCCTGATGGCCGTCTACCATCTCCAGACCACGACCTAGCCTCCCAGTTCTTTGGGGGGCACTGAGGTATCCAAACACCAACCCTTGTATATACCATTTCATATTTTTCTTTGTTTTATTTTTTCTTGGTTTTGCCCTCTTGAATCTTTCACTAAATTTTTCTCACACAAGGGACTGTGTGATTTAAGTTTGGGGGAGGGTTCAAGAGATGATTTAACCTTGTTTTCTTTGTTCTTAGTTTTTCATTATCTTTTGCATAGAAAAACCAAAAAAATCATAAAATTTTCAAAAAATCCAAAAATATTTTCATCTTTTTGCATTCATATTTCTTAGATTGTTTAGGATTGCATCTTTCATTTGCATTGCTGATTTGAATGCATTGTTTGAGTGACTGTGAAATGGGATTGATGTTGATAAGCATGGTTAAATCTTAATGAATATCTCTCACCTTGTTGCATTTTAGAATCTCTAAGTTGGACATTTAGCAAATCGCTTTTGAGGACATGTTTTTAAGTGTTGAATCAAGCTGTTTTCAAACCTCATCTCTTTCTTGTTCTATTTGTTTGCTTGAGGGCAAGCAAAGGTCAAGTTTGGGGGTGTTGATGTACTTGCATTTTGCATAGTTTTAGTACATCTTTTATGCATCTTTTGCATAGTTTTAGCATCCATTAGCATCATATCTTGTTCCTTTTCTCTTCTTATGCATTCATAGTAGTTTTAGGTTGCATTTGCATACATATGCATGTTTGGTCCTTTGAAATAGGTCTTTTGGAGCATTCTGGAGCATATGGGACGAGGAGCATGGAGGACTTGGCACATGGACGCAGCTCAACTGGATACGCAAAGGAAGAAGGAGGAAGCCATCTTGAAGACCAGCTCGACCACCTACTCGACCAACCGGTCGAGTTCCTCAACTCGACCGGCCAAGCTTCAACTCGATCGAGCTGAGAAGTCAACAGTCAAACCCGAAAAATGTTGCTTCCCCCTTGACTTTCCTTTGACCCTAAACCTAAATCCTCTTGTATTTAAAGGCTAAAAGCCACGAAAAAACAACCAAGCTTTAGATTACTTTTTGTTTTAGTTCTTTTAATTTATTGTCTTTTACTTTTTAGAGCTCTAATCCCATCTTTGTGTTCTTGAAGCTCTTGCTTCTTGAATCTAGATCCTGGATAATCTCTTTGTATTTGCACTTGCTTATTTCAATAAAAGTTGTTTAATTTGGAAACCGGAAGAGGTAAGGAGTCCGAAATGTACCTCTGTGACTCCACATTGTGGAAACTCACTTGTAGTGTATAAGATGAACTAGATGGACCCATACTTACCCAAACATGGATTAATAGGTTCTACACATGACTATGAGGACAAACATGAGTGAAACGGTCTCAATCCAAGGGAGGAACATCAAATGGACCTAATTTGGGAACCGGAAGAGGTAAGGAGTCCGAAATGTACCTCTGTGACTCCACATTGTGGAAACTCACTTGTAGTGTATAAGATGAACTAGATGGACCCATACTTACCCAAACATGGATTAATAGGTTCTCACATGACTATGAGGACAAACATGAGTGAAACGGTCTCAATCCAAGGGAGGAACATCAAATGGACCAAATTTGGGAACCGGAAGAGGTAAGGAGTCCGAAATGTACCTCTGTGACTCCACATTGTGGAAACTCACTTGTAGTGTATAAGATGAACTAGATGGACCCATACTTACCCAAACATGGATTAATAGGTTCTACACATGACTATGAGGACAAACATGAGTGAAACGGTCTCAATCCAAGGGAGGAACATCAAATGGACCTAATTTGGGAACCGGAAGAGGTAAGGAGTCCGAAATGTACCTCTGTGACTCCACATTGTGGAAACTCACTTGTAGTGTATAAGATGAACTAGATGGACCCATACTTACCCAAACATGGATTAATAGGTTCTACACATGACTATGAGGACAAACATGAGTGAAACGGTCTCAATCCAAGGGAGGAACATCAAATGGACCAAATTTGGGAACCGGAAGAGGTAAGGAGTCCGAAATGTACCTCTGTGACTCCACATTGTGGAAACTCACTTGTAGTGTATAAGATGAACTAGATGGACCCATACTTACCCAAACATGGATTAATAGGTTCTACACATTACTATGAGGACAACATGAGTGAAACGGTCTCAATCCAAGGGAGGAACATCAAATGGACCTAATTTGGGAACCGGAAGAGGTAAGGAGTCCGAAATGTACCTCTGTGCCTCCACATTGTGGAAACTCACTTGTAGTGTATAAGATGAACTAGATGGACCCATACTTACCCAAACATGGATTAATAGGTTCTACACATGACTATGAGGACAAACATGAGTGAAACGGTCTCAATCCAAGGGAGGAACATCAAATGGACCAAATTTGGGAACCGGAAGAGGTAAGGAGTCCGAAATGTACCTTTGTGCCTCCACATTGTGGAAACTCACTTGTAGTGTATAAGATGAACTAGATGGACCCATACTTACCCAAACATGGATTAATAGGTTCTACACATGACTATGAGGACAAACATGAGTGAAACGGTCTCAATCCAAGGGAGGAACATCAAATGGACCTAATTTGGGAACCGAAGAGGTAAGGAGTCCGAAATGTACCTCTGTGACTCCACATTGTGGAAACTCACTTGTAGTGTATAAGATGAACTAGATGGACCCATACTTATCCAAACATGGATTAATAGGTTCTACACATTACTATGAGGACAAACATGAGTGAAACGGTCTCAATCCAAGGAGAGAAACATCAAATGGACCAAATTTGGGAACCGGAAGAGGTAAGGAGTCCGAAATGTACCTTGTGACTCCACATTGTGGAAACTCACTTGTAGTGTATAAGATGAACTAGATGGACCCATACTTATCCAAACATGGATTAATAGGTTCTACACATGACTATGAGGACAAACATGAGTGAAACGGTCTCAATCCAAGGGAGGAACATCAAATGGACCAAATTTGGGAACCGGAAGAGGTAAGGAGTCCGAAATGTACCTCTGTGCCTCCACATTGTGGAAACTCACTTGTAGTGTATAAGATGAACTAGATGGACCCATACTTACCCAAACATGGATTAATAGGTTCTACACATTACTATGAGGACAAACATGAGTGAAACGGTCTCAATCCAAGGGAGGAACATCAAATGGACCTAATTTGGGAACCGGAAGAGGTAAGGAGTCCGAAATGTACCTCTGTGACTCCACATTGTGGAAACTCACTTGTAGTGTATAAGATGAACTAGATGGACCCATACTTACCCAAACATGGATTAATAGGTTCTACACATGACTATGAGGACAAACATGAGTGAAACGGTCTCAATCCAAGGGAGGAACATCAAATGGACCAAATTTGGGAACCGGAAGAGGTAAGGAGTCCGAAATGTACCTCTGTGACTCCACATTGTGGAAACTCACTTGTAGTGTATAAGATGAACTAGATGGACCCATACTTACCCAAACATGGATTAATAGGTTCTACACATTACTATGAGGACAAACATGAGTGAAACGGTCTCAATCCAAGGGAGGAACATCAAATGGACCTAATTTGGGAACCGGAAGAGGTAAGGAGTCCGAAATGTACCTTGTGACTCCACATTGTGGAAACTCACTTGTAGTGTATAAGATGAACTAGATGGACCCATACTTATCCAAACATGGATTAATAGGTTCTACACATTACTATGAGGACAAACATGAGTGAAACGGTCTCAATCCAAGGGAGGAACATCAAATGGACCAAATTTGGGAACCAGAAGAGGTAAGGAGTCCAAAATGTACCTTGTGACTCCACATTGTGGAAACTCACTTGTAGTGTATAAGATGAACTAGATGGACCCATACTTACCCAAACATGGATTAATAGGTTCTACACATGACTATGAGGACAAACATGAGTGAAACGGTCTCAATCCAAGGGAGGAACATCAAATGGACCAAATTTGGGAACCGGAAGAGGTAAGGAGTCCGAAATGTACCTCTGTGACTCCACATTGTGGAAACTCACTTGTAGTGTATAAGATGAACTAGATGGACCCATACTAATAGGTTCTCCACATTACTATGAGGACAAACATGAGTGAAACGGTCTCAATCCAAGGGAGGAACATCAAATGGAATTGGGAACCAGAAGAGGTAAGGAGTCCGAAATGTACCTCTGTGCCTCCACATTGTGGAAACTCACTTGTAGTGTATAAGATGAACTAGATGGACCCATACTTACCCAAACATTGGATTAATAGGTTCTACACATACTATGAGGACAAACATGAGTGAAACGGTCTCAATCCAAGGGAGGAACATCAAATGGACCAAATTTGGGAACCAGAAGAGGTAAGGAGTCCGAAATGTACCTCTGTGCCTCCACATTGTGGAAACTCACTTGTAGTGTATAAGATGAACTAGATGGACTCCTGTCTTATCGATGGCT